TAAAAAAAAGATGACCTTGTCTTCTTTTTTAGTTTAAACGCTGTTAAATATTTCTTCAGAAAATTCTAATTAAAAATCGTGGGATTGAAGTCACCAAGAATAAAGAAAATTATTGCATAATTATTGTTTCAATTCATTCCTCAAAATCTGAAACTGATGGCTTGTGGAAAACTAAAATGACTCCAAATTAGTCACCTGATTTTCATCGACTTTTAAACAAAGGAGTATCTGCAAATATTTTTTTCTATTGATCATCATTTTCCAATAAACCAAGTGTATGGCAGGCAGCTTTGTCAGTTGAACGAGTAATACCATCAATGGTTTCCAAGTACTCAAATAAAGTTGAGCTTCGAACATATTGAAGTAACATGAAGATATAAGCGCTGCGATTGAGTAGGATAAATCGTCTTAACTCTACGTATGACTCAATCTTTTTACTCCTGGCTGGCCTGAAACATCTTTTTTCTTAGTTTCTTCTTACGAATTCATTATTTTTCTATTGGTTATAAGTGGAAACTCTGAAATACATAAGAGTTTAGGCAAATTCATCTATAAGCGTAGTTTGAAAAACGCGGTCAACATCGTTCTTTTTAGATCTGTTAAAACTTGTTGAATATTTTGCAGATTAGTGTATAGTCTTTCATAATTTTTAAAGTAGACATCTAAGTAAGGCTGCAGAATACAACGCACGAATCACAAAATAAAATACGCCAAAATCCTTTACAGGAAAAATACAGCATCTATTTGCATAATTTGCAATTTCGTAAATACTTTTAACTAAAAAACTAGCCCAAGTTGTTCCTTTCCTAATGTATTTACAAATAGCAGAAGGCCTTGAAAGATTGATAGGGCAGCCGTCATCTGTAGTTTAAGTTTATTTTATATAATTGTAAGGATATTGTCAAATACATTTTCTGTTATGCATACATGGTAAAGACACGTTGAATTCACCGCAAGGCCGATGAATAATACTTTTTGAAACAGTATTAAACAGCAAAGGGTTTTGTTAAGAATCCAATAATATAACTGTAATAAGAGTGTCTATTTCATCTGGCATAATTCTCATTTTAAGCCCTTACAGTAAGTGCATGTGTGGAAGGCCTCGTTTTTGCCATTCAACACTGTAAATCCAAGCATCAACTCCACCGTACATTGCTATCTTCATGAGAAAATTTATAAGATTTTTTAGTTTCAAGTGAAAAACCATGAAAACAATGTCATACCTGACTGAAGGTTTTGATTTTTGCGTAATTCATTTTTTTATTTTCGACCGCTAGGAGCTCCACGTAAAGATGATGAAAAAGTATGGACACCAAAACGCTCGTACGTACGCCATTACATCCATCTTGAATTTTTTCATGCATATATCGTGGTGAGTCAGTAAATAAGGATGGTAAAATACTGGCTGTCCGATACTATGAGTTTCAATGTTACTACTATTACTTTCTGTATCTCGTAGATATTTTCAAAACGCAATTTTTTTCAATGTGTTTGCAATTAAAGCCAACGCGCTGCAGTCATTTTTCCATCATATCAACAACTAATGAATGAAGTAAGTTTTTATAGTAAAGCAGATAATTTTTACTAACAATTCTATACATAAATGTATATAAAGTGGTAAATAATCGATAGAATGTTAATTTTTTTCAAAAACAAACATAAGAGTAATAAGTCTAATAACATATCATATCGCTAAGTCTTTCATCAGTAATCTCTCTGGACCTAGATAGAAAGTTGAATTTCACATTTTTTGACTGCGTATCACTATAATTTGGATTCAGAACGTGACAATGCTTAATGTAAGTGAAGATATACATAAGCTCTCTGTTTCAAACCACCATTATCAGTTTGAAAGGTTACATAAACTCTATTTCTTATTGTTTTATTTATATAAAGTTACTGTATTCATGAATAGTTACTATGATGGCAATATGGAATCGCGAGTATATGTAATTAAGATAGAAATTGGGTATTTGTCTAAAATTAACTTAAGCAATGTCCCTAACCTCAATACAAATAAAATGTGTCCCGTTATAGCTGAATCAGACATGAGTTTCAAAATTTGATTTCAAATTCTTAAACACTTACAAATGAAAGAAATAGTATATTTTGCAAAGGCTTCGATTTACGAACCGAGAGGTTCGTAAAGAAGCCTTTTTGAACGAGTTTCGTATACTATTTTTCCGCCTGAGAACCCAAAATCAAGCGGCGAAAGTGCTATTTTGAGGTTAGAGGGCGGAAAAAATTTTTTTTTTTCAATTGATAGAAAAAAATGTTTCAACGGTTGAAATTGATTGTGCATACTATTGATGTATAATTTTTAAAAGACCGAGATTAATGATCTCACACCATCATAAGTGTCCCAAGTTATCTGAATTTACCTTATCCATAAACGTCCTTTTAGGCGTACTAGCAACGTATTCTTTATGATCAACGCTCAAAGAGTACATAATATTATTTTATCATATCTATTATTTAACAAAGTAATTTAAAGCCCCATTAACTTTACCTAATAAAGGTGTATGAGGTCCTGCTTTTCGACCTGAAACAGCTGTGAATGCTAGAGTTCTAACTCTGCATTGTATTTTTTATTTTTTTTATTTTTTTATTTTTTTGATAAGGTTACCACGACACTCTGCCAGTGAAGCTGATACTCTCTGCACCAATGATGCATAGGGTCCATTTGTCACTGTGTAGCCTTTCTACAGAGAAAACTCCATATCTTGAGACGTACACTCCTCGCTGGTTAAACCAGAGCTCTCTGCCGAAGCGTTGGATGTAAGCTAATAAGCATTCCCGGAGATGCCTTACAATTAAGCTACTGCTCAACGTCTGTCATCGGATCCACTAATCCCTACCTATAGTCCTAACATTGTCTTGCATTCACCCAGGCCCAAAGACCTGTGGGGTAAGAAAAAAATTCAGAAATCACTCTGAAGGAAAATCCCACGGAAAAATCCACCTAAAACGGCCGGGATTTCATGGGAACTTTTTACGATGACAGCAGTTTTTGAAAAAATTTGTATTCACCGGTAATCGAAGCCACGACTCCTAGAACGGTGTTGTATTAGTACTAAGTACGCTTCTTACTGTGCCAACACCGCTTCCCTCTGCATTGTATTTTTTGTTTCACAACTCAAATAGCATGATCCAGTGACTTCGTTGGGTCATGAAGTAACTCTGTTGTTCACCATCATCATATGGAGGTGTCTTGGATACTAAAACTTCAGAACTATTTGAGATTGAGAGCTTACGTATTATGAGTAAATCTTTTTAATATAACATGTTAGAGTTGTGGGAATATATCATTATAAGGTTATTTAAATTTAAGGTTAAACGTTGTTGAGATGTGTACGAGTATACGTGTGTTGTTAGTTATGGGTGGTGTATCGCTAAGTTCGGCCAGTGTATTTTGCGTTCGGAGGTTCAATTGTGCGTGCGTTCGGTCTATCGACTGCTGTTATAATATAGGTTGTTGCATGGTAATAAAAAATATAACGCTTCTTCTGCTCAAGCTAGCGTAGCGATTAGATCTGTTTGTCCTGGCTACCTCTCGAGCACGCAGGGAACATCATCATGTCGTCGGCGTGACAATCACACGTTGTTAGGACCAGTAGCAGCAACAATTGTAAGATAGCCTGCCAGCATACGAGCGAGGCTCTCATCGTCTAACAAAAAGTGTCCGTAAGAAAAGGAAAACGCCCCTATTAGATAGTCGGAAATTTGTAGCTATTATAATAAATAATTTTGTTAGTGCAAGTGATCAACCTATTTCGTTAATTAATAAAGCCAAACATTGTATAAAATACCATCCATCTTTAAATTTTCATAGTAAATCAGTTGTTACCTGTTTCTAACTGCTGAGCATGGTTTTGTTCAAATTTACAATCCTTCAACGCTACCAATTGTATAGTCGTTGCTCCGTCTTGACTGTTAATATTCGAATAGCAGAAACGTCAACAACGTTAAAAAGTTTTTCAGTTTTGTAGTTTGAATACTCTTAATTTTTAGGCTAAAATTCCTTATGTAAGTATCTTAACTTCCGTATTTTGTATAAAGGTATTTGAATTTTTGGCTGTTCTAATTTTGAGCTTATAGATTTTTAAAATTGCTGGTTACATCTTTAACTTTTACAAAGTTATAAAGGTATTATTACAAGGTTTAAAGAGATTATAGAAATAAAATTTTTCAGTTTTATTGTTCCTATGAAATTTTCAAAGTTAAATTAAACTGCTTATGTTAGGGAGAAAAAAGGATTGTATGTTTGTATCAGTGTTCTTTAGAGCACACAATCCATTTTTTGAGGACTAAGCATGGTAGTATAGTTACAACTTTTCCATAAACTGCAGGGCTTAACTTTTAAAGTTATCTTATTTTTTAGCTATGTTTCAGATTAGACAAAAACGTTGACATAATTAAATAAAATGGGATATGAGGTTCGGTGGCAAGAAAAGCGTAATGCAAACAGTCTAGTCAAAAAAATTTTTTATCAATACTTTTTCGAATTTTATGTAATTTATTAAGTTTCACCAGTTCTTGTTAGATATTATTGCACATTCTTAGTATCTTATAACGAATAAATAAAAATCGTTAAATAACACATTCTTTAGTCTTACTTCTGATGGTCTAGTGTACATTCTCTGTATAAAGTATGTAGATCAGGGACGATTTAAGGTGTTGTACATCAAATAGGATTAAAAGCTAAGGTAACAGTACCCTATTTGAAATAAATTGTCGCCATTAAACATATCAAGCGCAGACACAGAAAATATATACACGTAAATATTTTATGTGTCAAACAATAAAGTTTTGGTTTTATTTAACACATAGTTTGATTTATGTCATCGTAATACAGATTAAAAAATGCGAAGCCTCATAGGTATTTTAATCTGCCCGTAAATTATGTTAGTTTTTCAGTCGAAAGAATACATTAATCTATTACATCTTGAAAACCTGCATTTTAGTTTTTAGGTTATCAATACAATTTTTTTTTGTTTTAGGTAAGGCATTTTATTTGGAAAAGCTCAGCTGACTTGACTATTCACTATCGACCAGTGAAGTAATCAGTTCTTCGGAAGTATTTCTGGCTCTGCTAGTAATTGTGGGGTATTACAGACTTTATAATGTATTTAATGAGCATCAGTTAATTTACAAATATGAAAACTAATAGTAGATTCATTACAATTTTAATTAAGAAAGTGAATAATAAAATATTAATAGTACGTGTATAGTCCTTTGTATACTGTGTATACGATTTCAAAAGGTAAGCTTCGTGTTATAGTATTAATGAGTCTTAAGATTCTTTAATAGCTGTAAATCATACAAATACTAAGTTGTTGTTTGTTGTTATGACGCACTTGTTTTCTAAATTAGTTGACCAGATACACTTATGTAAACTTAATAATAATAGAAATTTTTCAGAACTGTTATCTTATTTTTCACCTTTTTTTTTACTTACTCTATGTAACCACTCAAGTTCAAAAAACTTTTTTTTTTATGTAGCTAAAGTTTGTGTTAAAATAAAATATTTATATTACTGAAAATACGGTGAATCACATCATGAAAGGATACTAAAAAAAAGTTTAAATGCGCTTACTCTATTTTATGATCTAGGACAATGTAAGAAATATTCAGCCATCCTTACAACAAATGGGTTCGAGAATATTTTAACTGTTTTGAAATGCATAGAAAAAGTATTAACTTCAACTTTGCAAAGAAGTTCCAAAAGTGCGTTGAATATTATAATTTTCCATGATTTATGATTTTTCAGACGTCAAGAGTTATGTCTCAATTCTTTTTCATGTATATAAACATTGATTAAACAATTGTAATCATAAAAATTATGAACTAAAGTGCAACAGAAAAATAATACGAATACAACACCAACCATCCTTAAGTTACTATCAACTTAATTACTTTTTACACCCTCAAGATTCGTAGACGGCAAAAATATTGAAGAAACTACAAATATTAACTTCTTAAAAACTAGTAGTCAGTAGATGCTTGGGCAAGCAAGTAAGAAATTATACTTCTATGATAAACAATAAATAAATGAAAATACTTTCTATGAAGTGATGTGTTAAATAATCCACTGCAATGTATCGAAAAAGGTGCAGTTATCGTTTAAATAAGAATATTCTTTAATTAGAGGTGGTTTCAATAAGTATTTCAATATTTAATAAATAAACAATTTAAAAAAAAAACATCGTGGATAAAGAAAGTTTAAATAAGAGCCGTGGCACGACGTGCTATCAAGCTAGCAAGCATAAGATTGCGCTTTCATCGAATCTTTCGATAATTTCAAAACAACTTTCTATTGCATAAGCTGATAACATCTCTAACTTAACGCTAGAATCTGTCACGTATGCGGAGACACTCGTTCCTAGTCATGTTTTTAATACCCACAATGTACGCAAATCTGAAAGGAGGAGAAAAAACATCCTATAGTACCTCTTTTTCTTGAATAAAGTGTAGTACTACATGTCAGTAAATGTCGCTGCAGGACGTCATTATGCATAGGTTTTTTCAATAGATATTATTAAAACATTTAACGTATATTTGTGCATGTGTAAGAATCTCTGTAAAACTTGTTAAGCAAAGGAAAGACAAATAATATCAAATTCGTTGATTGTCTTTTCGAAAATTCAAAGACCTCTACCTACATCACTACGAACCATTTTGTTAGAAAACAGTACAGAAACATAAATTAATTAAAAACCATAATACCTGGAGAATTCCTTGTTATTAAAAAAATTTTAACATAATTAATAAAAAAATAAATGACTTGAATAGGCAAAATATTGAGTTTTTCGATCATAGCGTTTTTG